CAACATTGTCGCCAATTGCCTCCGTCAAGGCCACAACATGTATCGTTCCGGTTTGCGAACGGCGTCGCGACAGGCTCTGAGTAGCCTGCGCGCCCCAGTCTGTCGTTCTGCACCTCGACGGCTCGCGTCCACGGCGTCCCCCGCAGATCGACCGTCGTCATGGAAGGGTTTTGCCCTGCGATGGGGGTTGGCCGTCGCGGCTGTCTACTACTACAACACGAGCACCGTGTTTGCAGATGAACTAGAAGCACAAGGTAAGTTCCCGCTTCGACGAATACGCCCCAATGCGGCCTCTCCCCAGCTAACGTTTGCCGATTCGCCAAAACAAAAGTAGAACCTCTGACGAGAACCGCGCCCTCATCGTTTGCCGAATCCGAAACCCCTACCGTCGAGTCGGTCGTCGAAAAGAAACGGCAGGAGCTGCAAACCAAGACGCAAGACCTGAACACAGCTTCCGAGACGAGGGTGGCCGAGTCCGCGACTCTGGAATCGCAGCCCAGTACAGAGGCGCAAACCGATGCGGCTACTGCTTCGTCGGAGGAAGACCTCGAGGAAGATGCCCCTCGAGAAGCTGCGTTTAATCCCGAGACTGGTGAAATCAACTGGGATTGTCCCTGCCTTGGCGGAATGGCTCACGGGCCCTGTGGAGAGGAGTTCAAGGCGGCGTTTAGCTGCTTCGTCTACTCTACCGATGAGCCCAAGGGCATGGACTGCATTGACAAGTTCCAGTATGTCATACCCAATTGTTTTCCCAAGAACCCCCCAAAGAACCCCCCAAAGAAGGATAGAACAAAAGAAGCGATTCTTTCTTTGGGGCAGCAATTACAAGCAATGTAAGGCTGACACACATCATAGAGGCATGCAGGAGTGCTTCCGCAAATACCCAGACCATTACGGCGCCGAATTGATTGACGACGATGACGAGGCCGCCGAAAACCAGGCTCCCGAGAGCGACGCACCTTCCGCCGTGCAAGGCCAGGCATTTGAAGAGCAACAAGCTGAAACGCCTGAGCAGCACAGAGCTCCCGCGGAGGGATCGGGACTCAAAGTTGTGGAACAGTCAGTGGCTGATGACGGTGCATCGAAGCCGTCAGAGGTTGCTGTCAGTGCGGCCAGCAAGGACGCATAGAAGCAAGATCATTGCGGCGATGAGGCACGAACAGACTCTTGATGGTGCTGCCTCCCCCGTCACCACCGAGATATGAAGGAAAAGGAAGACCAGAAAAGGAGCGAAAAGCTTAGAGCAAGGAGGTATGGCATTGTATGGATAGCGAGGACTGTATCTCCGCCCATTGTATATTTTGGCATGATGTCATGTTTTGTATTTCACTGTACGAGTAAGTAGAGGTGTACCAAAGACTCAAGAGGACCTTGGTCCATAGACGGCAAGATTATAGTAAATCAAACAAGTATCAAAGTATATGACTCCTACATCCCAACCCTCTCTTTTTTCTGCACATGTACATAGCACGAGCATTTTTTCGAACAAGGCTTCACCAAGCACCGACGGCTGTCCTGCCCGAAAATCCAGATACAAATACAGACAACATCCTCCATGGGCGCGGCGCGGCGCGGAACGAATCGTACACGAGATATTGGCCCAGTCGAGGAATCGAGCGCCAAGAAAAGAGTTTCATCAACAAAGGAGAGCTGATCAACAAAACAAGACTCAAAAAACGATTCCACCCAATTCCGTTGAAAAATGCACACCCACCCTCTAAGAGCCGCCCTTCTTCCCCTTATACAGATATCGCCCCAAAACCGCCTCCGCGGCCCCAACCCCCGCCAAGATCCCCACGCCAACTCCCGCGGTCTTCCAGCTCAAATTACCCCGCTCATAGAGACCCCATGCCTTGTAACCGAGGTAGGAGCTCACGCCGATAATAGCAACCAAGTTCGTCACAGCCAGAGCACTGGCGCTACCGTCCGAAAGGCCCGAGAATTGCTGTACGAGCCATGAGTCCGTCTCGCGGGCCTTCGTCTCGGTCTGCTTCTTGGCACTCTGGACCTTATCCTTGGCCTTGTCCTTGGCCTTGGTAGTCTTGGCGGCTGCGGCTTCTGCTTCGACGTCGGCTTCGGTTTTAAAGTCCAGGCGGTTGGCTTGGGTTTCGGCCTGGACGGGCTGCTCGGAGATTTCGGAGAAGTCGGAGGGCACGGTGTGGACGCTTCGGATGTCGACGTCTAAAGGGGAGGCTGTGGCTACGGATTCGGTGTTGACGATTTCGACGGGCTGGGGAGCAGCGGCCTGAGGGGTTTGGGGATGTGGTGTTAGTGTCTGGTTGTCACGAGGGTTCCCGTCGCCGGGCCGGGTTCTTGCAAGCAAGCGACGTGTTGATGGGGTATTGTATTTACCTCCTCGGGGGTCTGCTTGGGACCACTGGCAGCTACGTCGGCGTAGGACACTGCATCGCGCGGGAGGGTCAGCGTTCAGGTGCTCCTGTGGTGGCCTCGACGGAGCTGGCAGGTTGAAGACCGGGACGACTTACTGATGAAAAGGAGGAGGATGTTTTTGTGAGGAAAGATCTGATTATTGGTGATTCGGTTTGTTTTCGTCTGAGAAGAGCTTCGTTTTGATTGTTGCTGTGACGTGAGAAGAAGGTGTGGGTTGAAAAGGGAAACGGCGGTGGGAGGATGGGTTTGGCCAAGTTCATGTTGATTGTCGCTTGGTACAGGGATGGCGGCGTGCCGCAGAAGCTAGTCTATGGATGACGTGACTGGGTGGGCTTAGCTGGGGAATTTATGGGTCACCGGGCATAGGCCGAATCATAAATGCCTGCCGCGAAATCTCCGAGCTGAGGCTGGAACGTTGGAACGCGCATGTGAAACGCGTGGAAGTGTGAAAGACACAGATGGCGCGCAACTTGCAAGTATTTATGTGCTTGCCTCATGGCCAAATTGCTATCAACAGTCGTCTTCTATCAACAACGTAAGGTGTCTGCCTCTTGAAGATGGGCCAATACCAAAGTGTGCCGGATTCTGCTTAACTTCTTCGATCGTCATGTTCCAGGATTTGCAAATCCCTACCCTAGAAGACGAGATGCAAAATTGACACGGTCGACAATAACACACGCAATTACTCGCAATTAACCGTCACAGCATTCTTTACTTCTTCTCTTATCAGTCTTCATTTATTTAATTACAACGCTATCCAGATGATTCAGATCCAAAAAGTGTGCAGTGTGCGCTGAATTGATACATGACACACATCTTACTCATGCAAGAGACAGAGGAGAGAGATTATGTAGCTAGGGAGAACAAAAAACAAACACAATCCTCTCTGAAAATGATAACCGTCAAACTCCCATATTAACAACGCCAAAGCCGCGGGTATCACGAATTCTATATCACTCGTCTGTAATTGAGGGCATCGTACCCCCACGTGGGAGCTTGCCAATCCGTCCATCAATGCGTCGCCCCCTTTATTACTAATAAGAGGAGGAACCGATAAAGCACGTCGTGGGAAAGCCCCATTGCTGTAGGTCTTGAACTTCTAAAGGGACTGAAGTAGGGGCAATCACGGCGAGTTTTGTTGGAATCCTTCGTCGAGTTCCTTTACCCAGTGCTGCCGAAGACGCCGGGGCATCTTGCAGAAAATCATCGCCTTGTTCTCGTGGATCAAGACATTCTCAGCAATTTTGATCTGCAGCTCCATGCTCTCATCTGCAAAATCACTGAAGAACTGCTCCAGTGCCAACTCGCACCAGGTGGGCGGGTGGGCCATTGCCGTGTCGGAGAGTATGTTGCTCGAGGATGCGGAAATACGGGCGACCGAGTCACCAGCGGTAGAGGTGCGTTGCCGCTTCTCCGAAGATGGTGCAGCTCGACGTGCAAGTGCCGTCGTCGTCGGCATGAGGCGCAGTCCTGCGGTTCTGTTCAAGGTGGCCTGCCTCAGACCGGATGACGATCGCATGAGACGGGGACTGCTCTGGCTAGTCGCATGCTCGGTTTGTAATTGCAAGACGTCAGGTTCTGGCATCTCCGAATCGTCCCTCGCCATTCCTTCGGTCCTCCTCCGCCTTCTCTTGACCCTTTTTGGGGCACCACCCGATCCAACCACATCGGGATACAGTATCTCCATGTATTCTTCGTGATCAAATGGACGACCCCGGAGGGCTCTCGAAAGAGGCTCTTTCTGTGTGTCGGCGTCAGCATCCTGCGGCTTAATTTTCCTCCTGGTTTGGGCCCCATTCACTCCCTTGCATGTCATGTTCTCAATCCATACAGGACACGTCCATGTCAACGCAGCTCCTACTCACTTCTATATGCGCCTTCCAGGCAGCTTCCGATGCAGTCACCGTCTTGGTGGAAGGATTGTATTCAAAGTCTGGGTTCTCGCGCAGACCACGCCAGAGTCGGAACCGTTTTCGCGCATTGTCGCTCTTGTTGATGAGGTGGCTCTTTGTAGGAAATGCAGAATGACACTCCTCCAGAGCCTTCGCGGCGCGCTCCCATGCCTCAGTCTTGAAGCTGCTGTTCTCTCGAAACCCAAGCTGGACACTGGAGCAAAGGCTGCGGAAAAAAGTCGTCTCGTATGCGGGGGTCCAGCTGAAGCGCGGAGCCCGACGATCGCGATCGATACGAGAAGTCGATTGACCATCGAGGCCGAGTTCGGCGTCGTCTTCAGACATGGCCGCGAACGGGCACGGGACGGGCACGAGACGGTGACGAGACGGTGACGATGACTCAAGACCGAGTTTCGATGTGTCGGACCTCTCTAACAATGAATACCGGCAGCAGAATCGGCGGCCAGCGGCAACCACGGCGCCGCGTCAATGTGGCGTGCGACAGCCTGCGAGCTTTGTGATGGGATGAAGGCAATGAACAGTAACGCGATTTCAAACATCGGGATGTCGGAGCTTCAGCCTTCAGGCCTGCAAAAATACAATGGAGCGCGGGACCCAATCAACATGAGCCTCTGAGTTTGCGTTGGCTTCACTCTCTGGCACAAATTGTAACTCTTCTTATTGTGGAATAAGAGTGAGGACTCCAACAATTTCATTGGGCGGATGGTTTAGTGGTATAATACTCCCTTAGCATAATGTCGCAAGCGAACAGAATCTGGGAGTGGTCCGGGGTTCGATTCCCCGTCTGTCCAATTTTTTGTCACCCCACAGACACAAGTGCCATGTTTTTGCCTTTGACCTTCCTTTTGCCCTTCATTCCACTTTTTCTCTTCGCCGGCTCTGTTCAGTGTCCAGTCTAGATTGACTGAGTGGTGTTGTAACTTGTGAACCATGCACATATGTTCCGTGTATTTGGGGCATTCATCATATTTTTCTTCACTGTGTATTGAAACAGAGGCGAAACTGTGCTACCTACATACATAACTCCGTAGAGGTGACTTCTTCTTGCCGCGTTCCCTCCTCAAGTCGTTGGTAAGACATTTGAGACAGCATTGACATCTTGAACGTCAGATGATTCAGGCCTGCATTTGCATCGCTCTGATGCATAGCGAGAACGAGCAACTTGTAAGTATGTACGTACATACTCCGTACCTATGCAGAAGGGATTACTTTGCCGGAACTGAGGCCGCAACCCGGCGCAGCTCGGTGTTACTGCCCAGGCGACGTGCCCCATCGAGGTCCGGGCGTTACGATCTAACCGACGTTATTTCCAAAGCTGACGTCCATGAGGGAAGGGCAGACGCATGCATCGCCAGCCATGAATTACGTGAGAGCTCGTTTCACATCTATCTTATTGTTTAGGATGAGCACCTGTTGGGCCCCACAAAGGATGACAGTTATGCTTTGCTCAATGCTCACATCATGCTGTTGGCAGTTGCTCCAGGGGCCAGACTTCAAGGTCTGATGCTTCTCGCCGAGATGATGGAACACTTGGCTTGTTTGAGGCGAGGGGGGTGGTCCCAAGATCCATGATGTATCATGAATGGCGTCTGAAGAAGGACTGTCTGGCGGTTTTGGGCGTGTGATGGCGGCTGACTTTTGATAAACGAATCAACGATGCAAAGCTGCCTTGGCTGGGCTCTCACGATCACATGTAGAAAGCAGTCCCAAGAACTCCAAGAGGTTGGCTTCTCGCGGTTTCAGCCTTTGCTACATACATGTTGCCGAGGCCCTCGCAGTGCGCACCAGACATGTGCATCGCATTTAGCATCGTGCACCGCATGAGCGGCGAACTCTCTAAATGCTGTCGAGTCGGCGCTTGGGAAGGAGATGGATGATAGATTTTGGATTCCAGAGAGCTCGAGTATCAGGAAAACTAGATATCGAAATGACAAGACATGGAATAAAAAAAATTGACAGGCCGCGCCGAATGCGTCATCGCGAGGTTCGTTTCAGAGGCTAACCTCACTGACATACTTTACTTGTATATATCTCAGATTGTTCCTGTCTTATACATATGTACGGAGTACTCCGTTAGGTGTTTTCTTCTTGCATTGCTCCGACCGGCGACGGCTTGGCAGATCCACAGTCCCCTGGAGCGCGGGGAAATGGAACAAGGGACAAGGGGTTGGGCAAACGGGCATCGAAAAGAGAGAAAACCTCCCGAGATGGAATACGCAAAACCACAGCAAAGCTTTTTAAAAACCACCGCAAAAAACTTTAGTTAGGGTTAGTGGTTAGTGGTTAGGATTAGGTGTTAAGGTTAGGATTAGGTGTTAGCCTATGGAATATTTTGCTGTGGTTTTTAAAAACCTTTGCTGTGGTTTTGCGCACTCCCCGAGATGGGTAAAAGCGAGCGGATCATGAACCGCGAGAAGACAGCAGTCACGTGTCGACATCTTGCTTCTATTGGATTCTAGGTACATACATATGTACATATGTACTCCGTACATAGTGCATGTCAATTGGCTTTCTTTGTTCGTCCTTTTACCCGTTCGCCTACCGCCGTCCGGCCGCCCCTCCCTTCCCTCTCCGGGGTAATTTGTAACTTGTAAGGAACCAACTCTCCACCACCAGAGTCAGTCGAACCCGAAGAAGATGAGCAAGCAGGAAAACAGGTCGAGACGAGTCAAGAGCGGATGAATGAATCCCATCTGCCGAAGGGAATCTGTCGTCACGAGTTCGGAGTGATCAGTGATCACTGACGACAGGACCGATTGCTGTGTAAGAAGGAATGTAAGATTTCTTTTCATGCAAGCCGCAACAAATAGGTCGGTATGGATTACGCCGCACGCGAAGGATTCTTGCCATTTCCCATTTCCATCGTTGTGCCACGAACCCTAAAAGCCATAAGCCGACAAACGCCTTTCTTTCGGTCGGGATGGATCATGGCTCCCTCGACTTCGCCGGGCGGGTCTGAAGTCTGAAGACTGATGAGATGAGACTTTGAGGTAGGTCATGTTGTCCAGCCTTTTGCAGCAGGCGCATCGTTATCCAGTGATGACCGTCTCGTCACGTTGCATGAGCATCGTGACGTGCACGGGACCAACCGATTTTTTTGAAGAATGCGAAGATGGGAAAGGAGGGTGCAGGGGGGGGGGGCTCACCTCTGGACAGTGACTCTGGAGGATTCACGCGCGCGGCCGAACGCACATGACTCTGTTGGTCTTGTTACCCTTATTTGTGGCCTTCTTGCATTTCTCCTTCCTATTCTTGATCCAAGGGGGGGACGCCACGCCCGTGAGTGTAGATGTGATGCCTCACTTTTCGGTTGTTTGGCTCGAAATCACTTGTGGCTGCGTTTGGTCTTTTGTTTCATGCTTGTTGCCGATGATGGCTTGATTGTCGAATTTGATATCACATTGATGGTGTTTCATCTGCATCTTCATTTTTTCCCATCTTCACACACTCTTTGCTCCCCTCTTGGCGCTTGGCCGGCCAGGTTTCTTGTTGGTTTATTACCCTTGCCGGCCGGACAAGAAGCAGAAGTTAAAAGTAAAACCCATCTGCAGGCTAACTATGTACTACCTAGGTACATACATACCTACACTGTGCAGCCAAGATGAGCGATTCCGCCGGGAGGGTTTCTGCCGGGATCTCAGGATGCAGGCCGCAGCCAGCCCACCAGAGCTCTTCTTCTTTGTGCGGCTCCATTGCTCAGGCACCAGATAGGAAAGCTCCCCTTTCCCTTGCCAACTGGAGTCTGGGTTGACATTAGGTATGTAGGTACATATGTCAAACCCGACGGTGATGCTGGTAGAACAAGCGGCGGGCCGAAAAGCAGGGGTGGTTTTACGTACAGAAAAGGAGCACCTACCACAGGCTACCAGTGTCTGTACCACAGTTTGAATGCTACTGAACAAGCGCAATTCTTGTCTAATCAAACCAACCCATTGGCGCTGGGCTGGGCGTCTCTCCTGAGTCCTGAGTGCTGAGGAGTCCTGATGAAGCTTTGAGGCAATTTCACAAAAAAGGGACCAAAATAAGAACGGACCGGGAAGCGCGCCCCTTCTTCTTTCACCTGACTAATCTGTCCCTGCACTAGGCTGCTCCTGTACTGACGTCCGATCCCTCGGATTCTCCTCCATCTCCATCCTCTATCCTTTCCCCAGACGATAAATCCGCCGAAGAGGACCTAAGGAAAGTACCTAGTCATCTTGGTGGTTCTTTTTCACATCAATATGTATGCATGTACATACCAGCCACGTGTACCGTGTCTACGTAATTCGGCCCGTCGAGTCTCGAAGACGGGGAGCGCGTCAACGCCAGTTCCTGCACAGCGGCATCGATCCGTCAGACCGTTAAGTTTTATCATCCAGCGACGATTCGAGAGTCTTACATTAGAATCTCTGCGTGTCATACCTATGCATATGTAACTACATTCAGGTTCCTGCTTGGCGCCGGCCCGTCGAGTTCGGGTAGAGGACGGGTCATTCTGGAACAAGGATGCAGATACATATTGAGGAATATGGAGTCCGTGACGCGTTGGAACTTAGGATCCGGGGGGGAATGGGTACATAGGTAGCGCCAAACCGGTCTCCTTCCCGCATCGACATGTACGTATACGGTATGACAGTTTAAACCTTTGGCGCGACACATGGAAGCCTTTCCTCTTTCTGCTGTTGCACCACCAACTACTGTCTGTGCGATGGTCCCGGCCGGACATTAGCAGTATGTACATAGATTCTGAAGTTCCAGGCTCGATACAGACTACCTATGTATGCCTTTTCCATTCCGCACCGGCTATCGCCCCTGCACCAACCGTGAGTGACTTCGCGAAGCACTCTTCCCTCGTCGGCCTCTTTTCTTTCTTCCTTGTAGGATGCTCTGAATCGGGTGTCAGCGGTCCTACATACATATTGGGCGTCTCCATGTCTTCCTTCCCGCCTTGGTGCTAGACTAGTGCTGTCCATGGCTTTTCTGTCCCATGGCAGTCCAGGCTGACTTGTCGTGGTCACTTGAGATGGATTTTGTATGCCCTCCTTACACAACTCAGGGATGCCACCCCCCTCCCCTTGTCTTCTTGTGGTATCTTGGCTTTTTTATGCCTAGTATCTGGTCTATTGGGAACACTTGGCCGATTTCCCCAACCTTTCCCATCTGATGCAATGGCACTTGGGCGGATAGCTTGGTGCTACTGTCGACCTTGAGTCTTGGGCTCCCGAGTATATAATAAGTTGATCATGCCCCCTCACTAATCACGATTCACATCATCAGCATCTCTCCCATTCGCATCTTTTGTGGTTTCATTCCATTCCCTCAAGCTTATCTTATAGAAGTCTTTGTGTGTGTTCATCACTCTCCTTCGAACTTGTGCTTCTCGACAACTCCTACACACTCCTTATCCGGCTTGACGTCGTTTCTACAACCCAAGACAAAACAAAAAGCACCCTCTATCACAATGGTCAACCACCACATTCTATCCAGTGTACTACTGGCCTTTGCGGCCTCGGTCCAGGCCGGTGCCCCTGGCTATCCTGGATTCAGCCTCCGCTGGCAAGACGACTTCTCCGGCGCACGAGGCAGCTCCCCCAACACACGCAACTGGAACCTCATCACCGGCAACCTTGGCGTAAACGGCGAGCTGCAGACCTACTCTGCCAGTACACGTAACGTTCAGCTCAGCGGCTCCAACTCCCTTCAGATTGCGCCCTTGCGGGACAGCAGCGTCAGTGGTGGATGGACATCCGGCCGCCTCGAGAGCAAGTACGTCTTCACCCCCACGGTCGGCAAGATCACCCGCATCGAAGCC